GTCCCGATATGGTATATGAGCCATACCATAACATGATCCAAACACGAACCATCAGGCCGAAAATGAGACAATGGAGATATGAGCCATCCACTATGGAAAATTGGATTGATGCGATAGCTTATCTCTCATCGAAGTCAATCCAATTATGTAAAGTATATTAGACCATCGCATGGAGACCCAAGACTCCTCATTAGGGATTGAAGATTGCTGATCGGATTATATCAGCCAACCGTACCATACCGACCAAACAAGGATAATGGTCTCACAACAAAGAGTATAGCAATTAATATTCTTCCTTTATTCCTAATATTTTATTTTACAGCTTATGTAATTGTTAATAAATAAAAAAAAATCAAAAAATAAATTTGTATTTAAAATAGAAAATAAATTTTGAATATTTTTATAACTTTAGTACGTTTTTTTTTTCAAACAAAAAGAATATTAATCTCTAACTAAATTGATAAAAAAAACAAAAAAAAAATATTTTTTAAAATATAAATTTTAACTTCAAACAACCATAAACATATCGAATAATTCTTAATTATAATGTTAGGGGGTGTAGAGTAGAATAATGTTTCGCAAAATATTATTTTCAGGATAATAAAAAATATTTAAAAAATAAATTATCCTTATCATAACGTATAAAATCGTTTTATCTTCTATTTTTTATGAATAGAACCGTACGTAAAATTCATTTCAAGCCGCCGTTTGCTGTAACAGCCGGACGAGAAACAGGAGCGGGTTGATCCCACTGCCCGACCCGCCCGAATTCCTATTTCTTCTAGTAACAGCGGTCCGAACCGCTCAGGCGGTCGCGTTTACAACCGCTGTTTCCTTATAAATAGCCCTCTGTACTCAAAGAAGTGCACCAAAACGCAGAGCGAAACAGAACCATAGAAGAGAAAGAGAAATGGCGGACGCCGTGCAATCTTGGAGCATCGACACCATCCTGAAGAAACGTTTGCCTTACAATGGCTCCGTGGACGACGATGATCGGAACTGGGACGATAAGAATGATTGGGTTTCAACCACTCCGGCGAAGAAATGGCCGTCAGATCCCGCCGAATCCCTATCAAGTGCTCGTCACGAATTTGGCGAGCACGGCGGCGTCAACATGTCGATCGAAGCCTCCGCGACCTTCACGGTCATGGAGCCCGACACGATGAGGAAAATGTTCGCCGGCGAGCTCGGCCCCGATCGCGATTTCTACATCTATAGCCGACACTTTAACCCTACCGTTCTCAACCTTAGCCGTCAGATGGCCGCCCTTGAAGGCACGGAAGCCGCCTACTGTACGGCCTCCGGTATGTCGGCCATCTCGACCGTGCTGCTCCAGCTATGCCCTAGCGGATCTCACATCGTGGCTTCCCGATGCCTTTACGGCGGAACTCACGCGCTTCTCTCACGATTTCTTCCCCGATCCGCCGGGATTCGGACGACATTTGTGGATGTTAATGATATGGAAGCGGTTAGGGCTGCGGTGAGGGTGGGGGAGACGAGGGTGATTTATGCGGAGACGATGTCGAATCCGACTCTAACGGTGGCGGATATACCGGGTTTGAGCGCGGTGGCGAGGGAGAAGGGGCTGATGCTGGTGGTGGATAATACGTTTACGCCGATGGTGGTGTCGCCGGCTAGATTGGGCGCGGATGTGGTAATCCACAGTGTTTCCAAGTTTATAAGCGGCGGCGCCGATATCATTGCAGGTATGTGGCGTTTGATGCCCTAGCTTTTTTTCCTTAAAAATATTTGTTCTGCTTTGGACTGTTCAGGATCGTCTCGGTCGGCTTGCCCTGTTTGTCGGTGGGTGTGATTGTTATTAGTATCATTATTATTACGTTAATTAAATTTTATCATGCTTATTTTCAAATGAATATAATATAAGAGGTAATTGATTGATCATGCTATGTATTCTTTAAAAAAAAAATCGACGATTTTTGGTAAATTTTTTTTTAATACCTCAACTAATCAACCAAAGATGAAAAGGTCGATCAAAGTTCTTAAAACATATTTTTAATCACTTACAAAATAATATTTCTGCACAAGGTTTATATATAAGTTCTCTAACTTTTGATTTTGGACTGCTTGTACCAAAAATTTCAACTTTTTTCAGTTAGGAAGATTTACTTGGAAGTCTATTTCTTCAAATGAAAACTTTTAAGATTTTATTCAGTTTTCATTAATTATATCGTGGATTAATTTATTCGAAATACTTTTTTATAAGATTTAGCCAACCTTGTTATTTTATTTATTTTTTTTTTTTTTTAATTTGAGAAAAAAAAGTTCACTTTACTGGAGAGATAGAGAGAAAGAGCATAAAGAGTCAATATTAATTCATATAATCTTGAAAAAAAATGACCTGATTATGATAGGATAATAATTGGAACGCTAATGAATAATGATAACAGTACACATTAATAATTTAAAATTAACTATGAAATAACTTTTTTAAAAAAAGATATTAAGTCTTCACGTGAACCCCGTGGTAAAGCAGTCTTTATTAGTTACAGGAAACGAAACGTCTAGTTAAATAACAATTTAATTTATTTAAAAGCTACCGCCTTTGTAATAAATGACTAAATAAAAACGCTTCAATCGATTCATTATAATAAATTACCTCATAAAGTATTAAAATAACTAGAAGGATGTAAATTGACATGCAATATGATTTACGCTATTTTTTATCAGATGTTTTGATGGTAGATTTTTCTCAAAACATCCACTTTGCTGAAAAGCAAAATCATGTTTCCCCCACGAGCTTATAACAATGCATATGGGGGAAACTGGTCAGCTTAGTTCTTCCATCTCATCCGTAACTCCATAAAATTAAGCCAACCCTACAATAATCTCATAATTATACACTAATTGAGAGAAAAAGAAAATAGCATTAAGCTGTTCGAACACGCTGCGCTGCACCTCATGGCGGCAAGGCATAAGTTCCGGTCAAATTGACTCCTTCCTTTTGGATGGAGCACGTGTTATGTTTAATTTTATGGCTGCATCAAATTTGTCCGCAAGCCTGAAGGCTTATCACAGGGTAACGTAATGACAGCTCACCTCCTTCCGTAGTATAATGTTGCGGTCATCAATTATATATATTATTTTATTTTTTGGTATAAAATTGTGTGACCAATCACATGAGCAATGCACATGAACTCAATAAAATTTAAAAATTAAAAAAAATAAAATAAAGTGTGACATGGCTCATTTCATTACCACAAATTTAGCTTACTTAATGTGCTGCACTGTTACCAACGTTTTATGCATGTATGGCGCTTATTGCGATACCCTCCCTAATTGCACTTTTATTACATTTTATCTTTTTCTGTAAAGTTGGTGGATTTGGAATTTTTACTTATATATCAGTAACAAAATTATCTATATATTACTTGATAATGCTTTTGCTGCCAGGATGTGAGAGCTGATTACAAGATTTAAGAAATAAATTTTCTTTAAAAAAATGTTTTTTAATCATACTGTAGCAATTTGTATAAAAAGTGGATTCCAAGTTCTCATAACACATTTTGGGCTTTAACAATGCAGGAGCCATCTGTGGGCCGGCGAGCCTAGTAAACTCCATGATGGACCCCCAAAACGGAGCCCTGATGCTTCTAGGCCCAACCATGAACGCCAAGGTGGCCTTCGAACTCGCGGAGCGGCTTCCCCACCTCTCCCTGCGCATGAAGGAGCACTGCACGCGCGCCATGACCTACGCCACCCGCATGAAAAAGCACGGCGTGAAAGTCATCTACCCCGGCCTGGAAGACCACTCCCACCACTCCCTCCTCCGCTCCATCGCCAACCCTGGCTACGGCTTCGGCGGCATGCTCTGCGTCGACATGGGCACAGAGGAGCGCGCCAACCGCTTCCTCCACCACCTACAAAACACCGCCCAGTTTGGCCTCATCGCCGTCTCCCTTGGATACTACGAGACGCTCATGTCTTGCTCGGGAAGCAGCACGAGCAGCGAGCTATCCGAGCATGACAAGGCGCTCGCCGGTATTTCGCCGGGGCTCATTCGTATGTCGGTTGGTTATAGTGGCTCAGTTGAGCAGAGGTGGGCTCAGTTCGAACGAGCGCTGGCTGCCTGTGCCAAGGATAATGCGGCCGCGACGGCGATATCATCGTTTTCATATGGTGTTAATAACTGATGATGAGAGTTTGGATTTTGGGAGGGGAATAAAAGAGGCTGATGGATGTTTGTAGATTTCTTTTTGTTTTTGTTTGTTTGAATCTGTTACATGTGTGCTAGTGGTTGTTGTTGATCATGTTATTATGATGAATCTTTATGGAAATTTCTACATGGGAACTTGCATGGTTGGGCCATATGCTCACATATAGCCGTTTTGTCCATGGGGCCTTCTATCCCTTTTGTTTTATTTATTTATTTATTTACTATTATGATATGATGATAACTATCATTTAATCCATCCTGTGGGGGCATATAAAAGCCAAAATTTTCCAATCCAAATACATCTTTACATGCATTTTTCATTGATTGTTTTGCAAAAATGTTGGATAACTATTCTTATGTATTTATATATCTAACACCAAACCTTTCTTTTTTATATTTATAGCACTTAATCTTTCATCCCAAATTAAAAATAATACTATTATTAAACTTGTTAAAAAGTGAAATACACATCTTTTAAGTATATCTAAAATGATATAAATCTAAAAATCAAAATTTAGGTGTTAGATATATAAATAGGTAGGAATTAGAAGGTATGTATGTGAATCCATAAAGTTGCATTGCATGTTGCATGCAACACCATACTAAGTTTAACTTAGGTTCCGTTTGGGGCAGCTTATTAGGTGCGGTGGCATTATGAAAACGCACCTGGACTGTTTGGGCGAACTGTATTTTGGCAGTTTATGTGTTTTCAAAATGCTGAAAATAGCGTTTACACATCTAGGTGCGATGACAGCTTTCTGGAAGCGGTCTGACTTTTCTAAAAAAATAAAATTTATAATAGCCACCGCACTTAACTTATCAGTAGATTATTTTCAGTAGATTACTCAATAAACTGCAGCTGTCCCAAACAGACCGTATTATTGTTTTGTTGTTTTTAGCAAAAATATTATTCCGTATAATTTCAAATTTAATTCTGACTTTTAATAAAATATAAATTGAATAAACTTATATTTAAATTTAAACATTTTGATCCTTATCTTTTTGGACTTATTTTGCATGATAATTCTGTAAATATGGGATTTAAAGTTTGTATTTGATTATTGCAAAATAAAATTAAAAAAAAAAAAACATGTTTTATTAATTATTTCACTATTCTCATCTCCTCCAAATCTCCATCATAACTTTTTTAAGAAATTACTTTCTTTACAGCAACTTCACAACAATCTTTCTAAAAACAGCAGTCACCCTGAATAGAAAAAAATATTGCGTCCAGAGTCCAGACACAAGCAACATCCGAACAATAGGTGCAATTCATCAAGTGGAAGAGAAGAAAAATAAAAACCTCCAGGACGCTGCTTGAGTCCGAACTCTGGACGTAATATTTTCTCCCCAAAAAGAGCATTATTTTGTCATGCATCTCTTAAGAGTCCTTACCCATCAAATAAATAAAATTCTTAGATTTTCTTCCCTTCAAACGCAACATATATATCTTCATTTTTTTTTTCTATTAAAACTCATGCAGATTTACATGCATATCATTCAATTTATATGTATTTACGCATTTTTAATACTATATCTTTAATATAAATATTTATATTTTTATTGGTTTATTTATATATTTGTAATGTCACATTATCTATGCATTGTGTAATTCACTTCTTAAAACTCTTGAGCTGATTACAAGATTTCATTGGTATAAATGTAGGAAAAGTAGTTTAGGTCTTATAGATATGTAAATACATAGGAATTGGTTGGTATGTATGCAAATGCCCAAAAAAATTAAATGGGGATGTGCATTACCATCCATCAGATCCCGCATTAATACTACCTTTTTCATCAGTTGATGCATATCACACTCATGACTCATCATTAGCATGATTTTTTTCTATTTTGAATGAGAAAAAATAAAGCTATTTATTAGAATAAATATTTTATTAATTAAAATTTTCAAATTTTTATTGATGCCAAAGCTAATGAAATTATAGTTTTAGGTGATTCTCAAGTAAGCATATAGAGTCTTCCTTAATGAAAGAAGAAAGCATATAGAGACTTCCTTAATGAAAGAACAAGTAAAATGCCAAAATAATCTCCAATCATTCACATGAACCCGTTTTAGCCCTTGTGTTTATAGAAATGTCAAAATCGCTCTCTGAGCATTTTAAAATCGAGTTCTAATAGTTCTTCATGGAAACTATTTCAATCCCAATTTAAAGAATCAAAGACTATTTTGTAGGTTCCGGCCCCATGTAAATAATCAAGGACCTTTTGACACTTCAATCATGAAAAAATCACAACTTTTTTGACGAATTATATGATAATAATTAGACTAAAGAATCAAATATACATAAGGATCACATTATTGATGTTAAAAATTTAGAGTTGGGAGAATAGAGAAGAGAAACACTACCAAAAAGTGGAGGTATGCATTTAATTATTCTAAAATTTAAATTATTGGGGACAGATCTATAAAATTAGTATTAGTAGATGAATTTTGAAGATTAGCTCAGGAGGGAGGTAAATTAGTTTGCTAGAACTACTTTTTTGGATCTGTTACCAAGACCAAATAAGTAGGGTATGTGATAGGAACACAATAGGTCTTTAAAAATAAACTAAAATTATTTTGGAGTTATTGAAAGGAAGAAGATAAGACTAGTTGCAAAAAGTGAGCTTCAAGAATGAAACATTACCTCAGCATTTTTTTTTCTTTCTTACTTCTTTCTTTTGGGAAATTTTACATTTTGTACCACACAATTCTTATGATTTACACATCTATCACTTAAAGTGTGATATGTACATTCAGAACAACTTGGTGCTATAAAAGCATGAATAAAATGATGCTTTTGACATAAAAAAAGTTAATAAAGTCGTATATGATGTTAAATATTTGAGCAATAAGAACGTAAATATGAAAGTTTAGGTGTTACATGTAAATAAATAAGAATTGTGTGACATGCATGTAAATGCCCCTCCCCCCTTTTTTTTTGTTGTGCCTTTTTTGTTTAAATTTTGTGCACATAGTTCATTTGATTCCAGACTACCAAATTTTAGAGCTAACTTATCATCTTTAATCAACAAGTAGGCTCCATTTACACTAACCACTACAGATTTCATGATAATTTTTTTTTCCTTTCAGCAAGTCTTCAAAATCTTGATGGTGCTAAACCCTAAAAATATTAAAATGCAGGGGCAAAGTATAGCAAATAGAAGCCATGCAGCCACTACAATTAAAACTGTAAGCATCATGAGTGGACAAATCATTTCTTACCTCAAGATATAGCATCCTTGAAAAAATGGCTGTCAGGAGTTCAATTCTCATTCCCAAATTTCAAAATAAGCCCATCAATATCAACAGGAAGAAGCAGCTTCTGAAACAGACAGCATGTGGAGATAGCTTCTGGGGGTGGAACAATCATAAAAATGCCATTTTTTTTGCTGAGCATCCCGACCACACTCAAAGAGGTGCCCTCCCTGATGAACCTGTTGATCCCATACAAGATTAAAACATTTTTGGGGGCATTTACATACATACCACCAAATTCTTATGTATTGGCATATCTAACACCTAAGCTTTTCTTTTTTACATTTATACCACCTTACTTGTGCATAAAAATTTGTATTTCGCCTTTTAAAAGTTAAAATGGTGGTTATGATTCCAAATCTTTCATATCTCATTAAAAAAATACCACTATTTTAACTTTTAAAAGGTGAAATACAAACTTTAATGCATAAGTAAGGTGGTATGTATGTAAAATTTACGCTTAGGAGTTAGATATGTAAATATATATAAGAAATGAGATGATTCAGGGAACCAAATGCATACCCTTCTTTGAGATGGAGTAAGCGAGGTTCAACTGGAAGGGACCTTTCTTCCAGCCATTTCTGCAGAGTAGAAGATATTACTCTGTTTTTCTTTTTAGTATGTACGATGGAGGTTTCGGTGACCAGAGGAATCACTTTGGAATCAGAACCAGCTTTCACTACAGCTCTGATTCCAGATCTTGAATCTGTTATGTAGAAGTCAGCAGTAAATCTCTGCCAAAATTTTGTAAAGAAGAGAAAAATAAGAAAGCTGATCAGCAGTCTGGGGGGGTTATAAGAACTTAGTGAGTTTGAAGGAATGTGCCAGCTGCTTTTGCAAGTAAATAATTAATTCAAGAAGAAATGTATTTAGAAACGATTTTGCTTATTTTATGTTTATAATTATATAATTTTATATAATTGGATGGATTCCAATCTTAAGAACATAAATATCTACAACTAAAATAAAACAGATTTCACTGCTTTTGCAGACCATAGCATACGGTCCGCTGTGGCATCCTTCAAATTGCACTATCAAAGCATAAGCTTTAGTAATATCAGGATGGGAAATTTACATACATACCACACAATTCTAGTGCATTTACATATCTAACACCCAAAATTTGATATTTACACTTAAAACACATTGGTGTCATAAAATTTACGCATGAAATTTTGTATTTCACTTTTAAAAAAAATAATAATGGCATTATTTTTTAAGTGATGTTAAATATTTGAGTAGTCTTTATTTAGGTGTCAGGACAAGTAAGAATCGTGTGGTATGTATGTGAAAGCCCCTATCCGGATTTACTACACCAGTAAAATATATCATGAGCTTATGCAATCATTCTGAAGCAGGTTGTAACATCGAAAGCAGCAGGTAGGTTGAAGGGTAGTAAGGTTCAAAAGATAAAAGCAAAATCATTTATTAGTTTGATATTTTGTTCTTTGCTCGTAAAACCAACTAAAATTTGGAGACTGGTTATTATTGAAAATCAATAAATAAATAAATAATGAAAAGTTGTGGCCGAGTTTTATGAGATTTGCATATATATTGTAGTTTTGGTATTACAGCAAGCACCATATCATATTGTTGTGGCGTGCGCCATTGTGGAAGAACAAGATAATTGTAGTCGGTTGTTTTCAAAATTTTCAAATTTAAATTCGGTAATGCCGAATGTTTTGAGGAATTAAAAAAAAGAAGGGGCATTTAATTTCTATGAATTTACTTATCTAACACCTAAACTCTGCTTATTACATTTATAGCACCCAATCTTTAATATCAAATCAAAAATACCAACATTTAATCATCATGCATAAGAAAGGTGGTATGCATGCAAAAATTAAAGTTTCAGATTTAGATATGTAAATACATAGGAATTGAGTGGTCACCAAGTAAATCTTCCAAAAAAAATAGTATTTATTTAAACTTAAATTAAAACCGATCATGTGTCAACGTTATTTACTAATTTGGGTTATGAAGAATCTATAAATTATGATCCGAAGCATAAATTAAAACCTTTGGGTGGAAGAATTTTATCTCACTAGTAATAATACTGTGAGTGTAGGTTGAATATGTAATTACTTCAAGTTCGATGCATACATGAGTACCTAACTCCAAGCAAATCATCTGTAGAAATTCAGAATAATGTGAAATATAGTGAAATACAAAATTGTTTCATTGATATGAACGGGGGTATAAATAACCCTTACAAGAATCGTATAATAAGAAAAAAAATAAAAAGAAAATTATATGAAAGGAAAGATATATCACATAATATCTTCAATAATCAATTCATATTAATTATTAGGAGATATAGAGAATAACATAAAGTAGGAAAATAAATACCTAATCCAAGGAAATAAATATAAAATAAGAAATGAAATATCTCCTTAATCTAAGGAAATAATTTATTTCTCATAACTTCTTACAGGAATAAAATATTTCCTAATATAATTCCTAACACTCCCTCTCAAGTTGAAACATGGTTGAAAATCACGTTCAACTTGAATTTGAAAACATCAAACAATGGGCGAGGAAGATCCTGTGAAGTAGAACTTGAAGTCTTTATCATGTACTGTGGTTGTCTTTGGCTGCAGTTACTGCAGAAGGTTCCTACAGATAATGCTGCAGGGGAGTTTGCAGGTAAGTAGACAGTAATGGTTACAGTTCCTGCAGTGTCTGTAGGTAGACGGAAAACTTTTATTAGTACTGTTGCAGGGAATTTGTAGGGAAGTAGACAACTTTGATTGCTTTGACTGCAGTTCATGCAGTGTCTGTAGGTAGACTGAAAACTCCTACATGTAATGATGCAGAGGAGTTTGCACGGAAGTAGACAACTGTGATTGTCTTTTGACTGCAGTTTCTGCAGTGCCTGTAGGAAGACACAAACCTCGGACTTGGCTGAATTTTCAGTTTTATTTATCATGTGTTTCAGCAAGTAGACAACTGTGTTTGTCTTTTGACTGCAGTTTCTGCAGTGCCTATAGTAAGACTCAAAATTCAGACTTTGCTCAAATTTGAGTTTTGTCTGTCATGTATTTCGACAATGGGTAGTTCGGATTATCAAATTTGTTAGATTCAGACTTGGCTGAATTTTGAATTTTGTCTGTCATGTATTTCGACAAGGGATCGTTCGGATTATCGAATTTACTAGATTCAGTTTTGGCTGAATTTTGAGTTTTGTTTGTCGTGTTTTGACAAAGTTCTAACAGATGAGGATCATCTCCGTTAGGACACGGCCGGTAGATTCAATTTTGTCAATTATCTCGAGGTAAATGAGGAGTTTCTGGATCGTGTGGTCCTCAGAAGGAAGTACGTAGTGGACGATTGTGATGAAAAGCTGTGGAAGGGCCTCGCCGTTAAGAAGAAGCGTGACAGCCTTTTTCATGACGTCAATCTTGGCGGCGGCGACGTTTCCCTCAAGTGTCAGCTTGATCTCGTTTGCCAGTGTCGGGGTGCCCTTGTCAAAGTGGACGAGGAGAGTGGATGAACTCTCCATCTTGCTGCGTGTGGAACTTCCTCAATGGTTTCGGGTAGGAGCGGAGGGGAAGGAGGAAGATGGAGTTACGGTGGTCTCCGTACGCCGCGATCTCGTGCTTGACTTTTCAGCTAGCTCCAATTGTGACTATATCGCACTATCCTGAGGGTTCCTCCACGAAGCCGATAAGGGTTTCGGAATTCGGGAAGAGAAGAAGAAAAAATCGTTGTTTCAAATACCAAGAGGAGTGCCCCTCCTTTATCGCACAGAGGATGGCATGAAGGGAGTCCAACAATTTTCAAAGAAATACCGGTGGCTAGAGTACGAAATTAGGCCCTGATACCATGTTGAAATTCTGAATAATGCGGAATAAAGTGAAATACATAATTATTTCATTGATATGAACGGGGTATAAATAACCCTTACAATAATCTTATAATAGAAAAAATAATAAAATGTAAGATATATCACATAATATCTCTAATAATCAATTAATATTAATTATGAGGAGATATAGGGAATAACAAAAAATAGGAAAACAAATAATTCCTAATTCAAGGAAATAAATATAAAATAGGAAAGAAAATATCTCTTTAATCTAAAGAAATAATTTATTCCTCATAACTTCTTACAGGAATAAATTATTTCCTATTATAATTTCTAACATCATCTCTTTGCAAAACGTAAGGTTTGAGTTCCCTTTGATAAATTTTTTCTTTGTTAACTTGTATACTATTCTTAACTTTGATCAAAAAGTGGATTATAAAAAAATCTAATTTATAGAAATTAATTTGATTTGTTGGCAAATTTTAGTCGAAATTTAATTGCTTGTTGACATTATTGAAATTTTTTATTACTATTTCATTATTATTCTAGTATCACATTTATCATTAAAGAAAGTTACTTAAACATTAGCATTTATTTGATACCGAAAACGTAAAAATTATTGAAGTGGTGCATGCTCAATACTATAAAAGGTATTTCAAATGAAATAAGATTAACATGGGCTAGCAAGAAATAAAAGTTTAAGCAAAAAATATCTACTATATGATAAATATAAAAATATTTTGCATAATCAACATTAAAGTTGAAAGCAAGAATTTAAACAGACATAATTTGTCATTAGACTATTCTTCTAAAATCAGTCTTCATTAAATTCATAGGTGACAGTTCAAGAATGAACTAAACCATAATTCACCAACAATAGCAAATGAAATTTTATCCAGATCATTATGTATTAAATCATGAAAAAATTTATTCTATTAGGGTTATTGCATCTATTTTAATATCTTAAGAAAAACAACATATTATCCAAAACCTATTAAAAATCCACCAATACATGAATCAAGTACAATTGAAGTCAATCCAATTACAGAAATCGTAGTTCATAAAAATTCATTTCAAGATATATCAGATCTAGAACATGAACTGCAAATAGCACCGAAATATCTTCTCGAAACTTATATTCCCAATCTAGTATTTTTAATAAAATAACTATTTCCAATCTAGTGTCTAGTGTTTTTTTTTTTTTTGGCAATAACAAGAATTTATTTGGATTTAAATTTAAATGACTTTGATTTATTGGTGTAACCCTGTTTCTATAGATAATGATAGGAAGCCCTCTATTTTCATTATGTTATTATAAAGGAAATAGCAAGTTAGATCCTCCTTTTCCTCAAAATTTCCTCGACATGGAGAATTTTCAAAAAAGAAGACCTCCTTGAGAATAACACAATACCAAAACTCTCTCTCTCTAAGCCTAGTTCATCCCTCTCCCCATTAAGATCATAAATCCTGGCATGCTAATGAATCATTCTCATAAGGAAACAAAATGGCATTTTCATGCATTTCGTCACTATAAAAAACAAGTAGCATAACGCATGAATCTACTGTGGTTCGTTTAGGTTATATATCCTTCATTTACGCTAAAAAATATATTTAAGAAAGAACCGTAGAAGCAATATTAAAGCTAATAAATTATATCAGTTACCTACCTCCAAATATGCCAACTTCCAACAAAAATATCTGTCATCAGCACTTACAATCCTCGATCCAGTATGATAGTCCTTCATTGAAATATTAAATCCAAATCCACTATATTCATATAAAAGAGTTGACGTATAAACACATCTCTCAACCTTTTCATATGAAGATTCTAACGGAATATCACCACATTCAGCAAGCTGCTTTCACAAATAAAATAAGAGGAAATAAAGGTGATTAAAACAGCGTAATAAATTGCAAAAGAATAATGGTATAGAATTCTCTTGAATGGTTGAAACATATTTCTGCAATGAATAAAGTGCCAAAATAGTCCCTTGACTATTTACATGAGGGCATTTTAGTCCGAAAGTGCATAAAAGTGTCAATTTTTAATATGGACTAAAAAGTTTCCATATCCGAATATTTTAGCCTCCATTTAAAAAGTATGGAGACTAAATTGGCACTTTTATAGACTTTGAGACTAAAATAAACCCCTACAAAAAAATAAGAGTACCATTTTGACACTTTTTCTCCTCTTAAAACAAGGATCGTAAATGTGGAGTAGGCAGGCAAGAATAGCAGCCCTTAAAAGCTAATGTACACATGAATTCCAGCTTTAATGTAAAATGGCTTAGTCAATTAGGAATAGACATGGTCGTATCTTAATAGATTGCACCAAATGCAAAATCTTAAAAGTTGAGTATGTTTCTCCAAAATAGATTGTGCTAGTATGTCAAAACAATGTTTCTCCAAAATAGATTGTGCTAGTATGTCAAAACAATAGATTTGATAAATTCTTTACAACTATATACAATCAAAGTTCCATAATCATTCACAGTGTTATCTCTTGAGAAAAATAAAAAGATTCCCACTATGGTGCAATAACAAAATATTGCTTAACAAAATTTCTTTTATTGAAATCCTATATGCACTGCTTTTTTTCTTTTTCCTGTTTTCCTGAGTCTGAAAGAAACAGTAAACATCATCTTGAATGATGGTTAAAACTCTCCAGATGATTAAGATAAGGTATTATTGATTTTCGATCAAGCGGATTAACGATAGAAATAAATAGTAAATGGCAACACAGAACAAATGATTCATAGTGTTTTAGCAAGATTCATGCCTAGCTGACACCAACTTGCTTGGACTACAATGACTCACAACACTGGAAATAGAAGGGAAGGATCAAAAAATATAAGAAGTATCAATGCACATCAAACAATTGACAAAATTGGAGTGTGATTCAAAGCTACTCCAAGGCACCAGAAAGGATCCAACTACACGTAAACCCAGTCAATTGACAGGTGTAATATGAATTATTGTTTGGAATCAAGAAACTATTATACCGTTGAACAAGACCCAAGCAATTACATATGAGAAGTCTTCTCTCACATCCTTTATTAGCCTCCCTCCCTCCCTCTCTCTCTCACACACACACATCACTCATTTCTACTCTAATGAGCCTTCTCTAATTTTAAAAATTTTGAATTCTTAATAACGTAAGTTTTCCTACAACATAAATTTATATGAGGAATGTGGGTTACGATAAAAAGAGTGAGAAAGTTACAAAATAATCAAGGGCCAGAGTTGAGGATGTTCCAAGGGCATAGCACCATTTTTTTTTACTAGAGCCGAGTTTACAAATACTTGCTCATAATGGAGTCACGTAGCTCTCGGAATAAAGTTCTTCCCATGAATTGTTTGACCTCTTCTCAACCACACTGTCTTCTCAGCTTCTTTTAGGATATTCCTGTTAGCACAAGTGCAATCTTCTTAGCTTGTATTCCAAGCATCTACTAAGTAGTTAATCAGGTTGAACATAAGGGAATAAAGTTGTTCCCCTCCTAAGTAGACCACTTAACTTTGGAGCTCACCTGCCCTTTTCTTATTGATTCTATGGAGTGCCTTAATGCCTTTCTTGCATTGAAGACTCTGAATGACTCCACTCCACTCCGCTCGCTCGCTCGCTCGCTCCATTCCGCTCCAGCATCTGTCCTTTATCTGGTATATGAGCCATACCAACACCCTTTACTTCAATCTCTCATTGTTGAAGGCACACAAAATCTCCAAATTTCTTTTCTACTCATTGATGATCAACCCGACACATTAAACTTTGTTGTGACTAGTTGTTGACCTCATTTTTGTGAGGTCTTGTCTTCTCCTCCTTAGAGCCTAGATTCTAGCTCTAGAAATTCCTAATGGACTATCTTAGAAAACTAGAATTGGGACTCACCTTTCTAGAAATTCCAGCCAATTCCTATTTTCCTTTGATGTCTAGCATCTTTGGCACAAGACCATCGTCTTATGAACGAGCGGTTATGGGCTATTTTGCGAAGATTCGAGGAAAATGTTTCAAATAGGACTTCAAGCCTTAGGAAAACATTCGTCACGACTTTTTCGTTACGTACACACACAAAGTACACGAAGTTCACGAAATTGCGCGAAATCGGACTTCACCCCAATATGCCATACTTTCGACACGAGAAAATTGGCACGCAAATCGGTGAAGTCGTCAAAATGACCACTGACGGCAAAATAAACTGTACCAGAGCGTTCGGAATGTCGAAATTACCTAGGAAGGACACCTATTTTGCTTGGGCGCCGCACATGGATAAATCGCATGAAATTTGATATATATATATATATATACAGGATGAAGGGTGGCGGCCATTCCCCCTGTTGCTCTGCTAGGGTTTCGGCACAATGGCTCAACCTTCTGGGG